TCAAATCACGTGAGCACCTTGATTAAAAATATGAAAACATTTGGAAAATATCTGCTGACAACGAGTTGGCGGTGCACATGCTTTGCAAATCCTGCAATTGACCGAAATCGGCACGACAGTTTCCGAACCGGATTTCGATTTCGGTGCGTGATTTTGATTGGACTATGCATAGACTCGTTAGCCCAGTCAAATGTAACTCTATAAAACCAGCCTAGTTCGGCAAGGATGGAAACTGGACATTTAAAGTCAGTAAACTCTCTTGCCTCGGGAAGATGATGTTAATTAGGTTTGCTAAGCTTGGCCTTGACATGAGGGGTAATTAAAGTGACACTTCAATGTTAGTAACTGTATAGAAATAATTACATGAAATTTATGGCAAATATGTGCAAAATATATACATACAAATAATATAAAAATGTGAAATATTTTATCATAAATTGTGCACTGTCACAATATACTAAAACTAGAAAAAAACTAAGCGTATACATTTCTGTAGAAAGACCCAGGATTATTTTATCTGGCACTCCTATCAAAGTAGATATTCCTGCCATCTATTAAAAGTTCCTGAAAGCACTTGACTTATTGAAAGTCGTATCAAACGGCAAATGGGGAGGGGATTGAAAAACCCTTCTCCATTTGTTCAGATCACACAGGGGGCACGGGTGGCCCAGTCGTCTAAGGCGCCGCGATTCGCTGTGCAGAGTTGCGTCCCTTGGGCACGCCAGAAACCTATGATTGTGGGTTCGAATCCCGGTTCACCCCGATTATGTTTCTAGGTTTGTCAGCACCATAGCCGTGCTCGTGGGTTTCACTGAAGTGGTAAACGTCTAAGACCTGCATCACTTCGGGCTTTCCTCCCTCATTAAGCTGACACGCCGTGATATAACTGGAACACTGTAAAAAGCGGCGTTAAACCAAACTCACTCACTCACTGAGATGATTGGGGTGATGATGGTTATAATGTTGCGCACTTAGTCTTTGACATCTTACTTCACAGTTGAAATGGGACATTTTAACGGGGCCATATTTGGTCCCATGGCACTAAGAGGGTTAACATGAGCCCCTCAACAAGTAATTTACCCAGACAATCAAAGGAAGGTAAACCCACAACTGACCAGAGCTGAATACCGTCATGCGAGTCAAACACTCACATCCAAACATCATAACTGAGGCTATCGGCAATTGACACAGGAACAGGATTTAGTGGAGAAATACAGGTACAGAACGGATCCCACAAGCTGATTTTGTTTAATGCAGAGTATGGGGCAGAAATGCAATCTCAGTCGCTGGATGTTCCTGGTTGTGGCCAGTACATGTTGCACCAATACGAGACAAAATCCTAACGGGCCTTAACTCTTTGAAAGAAGTGGATGCCACCATTATTGCAAAGCAAGAGGATTTTGTTATTAACGGAATCATTATTCCAGATATTTCTTCAAATGAAACAAATTCACACACGGTTCAACTGGATGAGGATGAAATCATTCCCCCAACGTCAGAGAAACTTCTTACTGGAAGAGTCAAATGCCAACTACAGAATTATGCGAGATCGGCAGTGTTAGAACAAGTCTCGAATAAAAAGGGCATTTTTCATAGTGCAGGAGTGGTGAAGGGTAAGATTAAGTCTGCTAAGAAAAGAATTCACTTGGGTAGACTTACAGATGCCCAACCGAAGGTGGAACGTATAAAATTTGAATTTGAAACCAGACCAAGTGGACAAGGAAGTGCCACAGCATCTGGTCAGATTGTAAGAGGAATCATTTAAACATCTACACAACGTGGAAAAAAGCATAACTGGCAGACACTCAACCTAAAATTGAAGATGTGTTTTGAGGTATTATCGAGCATACTCTTTCCACGTAGATTTCAATGAACGCCAGACAACTCTTGCTCAGAAGGTTACAACATTTAAGTACAAATTAAAAAAAGTGTTATGTTAGACATGTGAAGGACATTTCCAAATTGGACGCGCCAGTGACAAAAATTATGTCCGATGCGATTCCCTATTTTGACTTGTGTTTTCGTGGTTGTTTTCAGATAAACAATGGCCTTGCCTTTGCATGTATGTGTGCCCGGTGACACCGATGGTGCAGGATGCATTCACCCTTTCTTGATCACGTGGTATCATCAGTATTTGATCGTTAGTCAGAAACACATGCTCATGATATGATTGGAATCGTGCAATCGTCTCTGCTTTTGGCAGATATTTGTTATAGATATTGAAAGGGTTTTGCGCTTTCATTTGGAAGATGACGATTTAGGATGCTTCAACACTGAATTACAACTGGTTGTGCCAAGTCTATTTTGTATCCATAAAGGAGAACACCTATATGACTCCAGCACAAAGAGGAGAACCATCTCCAAAGTTTTTGAACAAGGGCCCTGTGGTTCCAACAACCTCAGAAAGGGCTAGCTCAGTGGTCCTGGTCAAAATAAATATGGAAGTTTGCGCTGGTGTGTGGATGATTTTAAGAAGCTAAACGGTGCAACTCAAAATAATGTATACCCTCCACCACACATGGTCTAATTGTTACCTGCAAGGAGTGTGGCAAGTTTGTTTTTAACCCTAGCTTTCCAGAGTGGCTTACGCAAAATAGAAATGAATCAAGTGGACCAATCACCAGATTTGGACTCTTCGAGGTCACATCAATGCCATTTGGACACAACTGAAAGGGATGCAGTGTGTTCTGAAAAGCATTGAAAGACAAACAGACAAAGCAGAAACGGTTGTATGACCTAGGAAGTAAAGACAAGCCTTACATTACAGATGATCTGATGCGGGAAAAAAACCCAGAAAAATGATCGCCGAAGTTAAGCCAATTTGGAAAGGGCCATTTGTTATGACAGATGTTCTTGGTCCAGATCACTTTGAAGTTCAAGACAACAAATGTAACAAGATACTGCTCTTTCTCACTGGATTGCAAGAAATTTCAAACATGTTTAACCTCCAGTACCAGAAGAACAGATAGAGCATCCCTTGCAGGATAAATAGAAAAGCAAGGATCAAAACAATGTGGATACTGGTACTACCAAAGACACAGAATCACAGAAGCCTGCAGTGAAGGAATAAATTGAAGATCCTCGGATCACTCAGTTTGTGGAGCTACTGAAGCAGCCAGCTGAGGCCTTGCAGGGATCGACAAATACAGAACAGATATCTCATACATTGGAGCCACAGAGAAAGACTCGTAGGAAGCCTCTCAACAACCCCAGAGAGTTGGTCAGCAGATCACAGGGAAATGATCATAAGGATGTACAACCTAAATCATTGTAATCCTCAAGATGGCGTCGCCAGCGGAAGCAAAAGAACTTAACTTTGTAAACGCAACCTTTTGTTTAAAAGGGGGATGTGTTACGTACGTGTAAAACAGCGGTATTCTCAGGTGGTTCTATGTATGGGACTCATCATGAGCGGTTGAAATAAACCCTATGGTCATACGATCCTCGTTTGTGGTCATTGCTAATACGTAGCGATGCCCATGCCACAAACATAAAGAAGCCACTACATATCTACATTATGCACGCAGGTAAATATTAAGCTTCACTATAATCTGTACCGGGTATTTGAGATGCCATTGATTAACATCTATCATACTTTGTCATGCAATTTGTGTGAATGGCGGATGCTGTCGGTCGTACAGGGCATGCTTACCCTTTTCGCGAACACCCGATGTCATCGCTGATTGTCAGTGATCGAATCATATATTTTTAGGGGTTTCTATTGGTCTGGAAATCACTATTGCGATAACGATTGATATTGAAAGAAACTATTGCGATAAATATCGATTGTTTGAAATTCAGTGTATCATTTTAGATGGATTTTAGTGCTGAATTAAAGCTTGGAACTGAAGTTTCCTTGAATGTGATAACCATAACAACAAATAAAAAGTTTGAGATATGACAGATTTGTTTTTTCTTTACCCTTATACATTACCATATGTAAGTTACTACCACTCATGATCAAAAGAAAACAAATTTGAACAGCATTGCATGTATTTATTGATGTGGTAAGTACAATGGAAACTATCGATATTCCTAACTGAAATGGATACTTTTGATCGGAAACTGCTTTAACAATCGATTTATTGACTTTAAGTGCTTACCAACAGCAATATATCGATATTTAGATTTATCTTGACACCCCTAATAATTTTCACCCCTATTTTGCACCAAGTATTATCTGTTTCATGAGAACATTGAGTTGTTCACTGGCATTGACGTTTTATATTGTTTGTGGAAAGGCTTTTGTTGATTTATTTTAATATTATATTTATATTTCAGTTGATCAAAGTAAGCATAAATAAAGTTATAATATGCATGACTCCCCATAGATTAACATATTATAACAGCCGATCCTTATCAAATATGTGCATAACAATGCTACTACATGAGATTACAAATAGTTACGATATGCGCTGAAAATCTAATTACGTAACAGGGTAATACCTATCAATCAATGCTATCAATAAACCACCAATTATATCTATCGGACACCGCAAGTTCTATTCATTACTATATTAACCACATTTTTAAGTGGGGGCACGGGTGGCCCAGTCGTCTAAGGCGCCGCGATTCGCTGTGCAGAGGTGCGTCCCTTGGGGACGCCAGAAACCTACATGTATGATTGTGGGTTCGAATCCCGGTTCGCCTAGATTATGTTTCTAGGTTTCTCAGCACCATACCGAAGTGGTAAACGTCTGAGACCTGCATAACTTTTGCTTCCCTCCCACATTAAGCTGACACGCCGCGATATAACTGTAATATTGTTAAAAGCGGGGTTAAAGCCAACTCACTCACTTATTTAGATTGATTGAGTATGGTTTTACGCCGCTTTTTGCAATATTCCAGCAATATCACGGCGGGGGACACCAGAAATGGGCTTCACACATTGTACCCATGTCGGGAATCGAACCCGGGTCTTCGGCGTGACGAGCGAATGCTTTAACCACTAGGCTACCCGACCGCCCCCACTTATTTTGAAGTACTGAAGTGACACTTACTTTTGCAAGAGGAATGGGCATATACACAAGTGAAAAGTATTGCTTCCGTGTGTGAATACTTTGCTCTCTACTTCTCAGCTTCACATGGCTTTTCCCCAGTCTGCAATTCAAACAAGAATAACTGGTCTCAATTCATACCCTGTTCTTGACGACTGTGCAATTACCTCCCTCACTTACTGAAATTGATAAACACGATTCTTTCACAGAAAATGAGCGCAGTAACCTATTCAGGCTGGAACTAGGTTACGTGATGAACTGGCACGTACACACTGCCTCCTGATTTTTTTTGTAAACTCTGTCACAGATGTCATGCCTTTCCGGGCATAATTAACAATATTACATTTTAGGGCACAACAAGCATAAATTACACAACAGTTAATGCCTAAACATTTTCTATTTCGCTTCTATTGCATGGACTGTCATATATTTCGTTTCATTAGCCTTCAAATGTTATGTCTAGTACATATTCCCACAAACGGTACCCTTTTGCTGATTGTAACAACCAATTAGCTTACATATTGTCGCTAATATCCGGGGGTTTTTTTATCACATAAAACTATATACACGATATAAATGAGTGTTAGCGATTATTTTGTTTGACAGCAGTTTTTGACACGGAGCATTGGTTGCCGCAACAGGCAGATTGACGGCCATTGTGGATGAGGATTTAATTATGGCTCCATAAGTGTACACGCGTAGTGAGTCAACCATCATCTTTAACACTAAGCGAGGCCCAGTGGGTAAAGCCACAAAGACCCAAAAACCAATACTTACCACCCCTAGCGCACTAGAATGCTCTAAAGCCTCCTGTAACGTGTTGACAAACAATGTGTTGATCTCTTTGTCACAGCTCCATAGTTGCGGCGCTGGAAAGTGAGTGAGTGAGTAAGTTGGGTTTACGCCGCTTTTAACATTATTCCAGTTATATCACGGCGTGTCAGCTTAATGTGGGAGGAAAGCCCGAAGTGATGCAAGTCTCAGACGTTTACCACTTCGGTGAAACTGACGAGCACGGGTATGGTGCTGACAAACCTATAAAGATAATCGGGCGAACCGGGATTTGAACCAACAATCATAGGTTTCTGGCGTGCCCAAAGGACGCAACTCTGCACAGCGAATCACGGCGCCTTAGACGACTGGGCCACCCGTGTCCCCGCGGCGCTTGAAAGAGCAGCATTTAATTATGATAGTAGGTTATATCATCTAGGGTACATTTGAGCGAGGATGTTCCACTAATTCCCGTACCACAGGAAACGACCAGCAGACGTGAGCGCGGGATTGTGTATAAGACGACAGTTGCATAATGGCCGCCAGGAGAGGTAAAACTAGAGCTGCATCAGTAAGGAGGGATAAAGTAGATTTGTTTTCCCGGATGTATTGAATAAACTACTACTGTCAACTCATCTTCTACTCGATCCTTGATACATAATTTTGTCTTTTACAATATGTTTGTTTTTCAACATATACATTAATCTTTTGCAATCATGTGTTTTAGAATCTTTCTCAATTGTGTTAAGTTTACAAGCAATAATTGTATATTTTGGTGGCATTTAAGTATAAAGCGTCTCGTGTCAGGAACAACATCAGGAACACTTTATGTGATCATTATTGCTTCATTTTATCGAAAAGTATCCCCTGAAACATAACTAAACGTTGCAACCATTAACCCAGCTGATTATATTATGCGATATATGTAATTAGGAGATGTGCAAATAAATATACATCCACCGATTAGCTGAAACCCATTGACAAAACACTCAAGGGAATGTAATTCTCACAATTGGTGATATGAAAAACTTCTTAAGATATTTCAAATATCACAAATTCGATTTGTTGTAAGATAAACTACGCTAGTTGATATAATAAATGCATTTATTGATATGTAAAAAATTGCGAAATCAATAAATATGTCCTGAAATGATTAAATCGAATTTGTGATATAAATCCATTCTTTGGTATCAATATATGAATTCTTGATATCTTGACATAAGGAATAACTGGCAACAAGGCGCCTTTTGGGTTGAATTGAGTAACGCGATTGCATCACGGTTATAGCTAGTCTTTTTCTGCATTTTTTTCATTTGTTTAAAAATGGCAACTTATACTTATAGTTAACTAGTAACTGCAATAAAGGAAATAAAACTAACCCTATCTGCATTTATTTATCTCTCTATCGTTATCATCGTCTACATCTGTCGACTTTTTTTAAAAGTCTATGTATTTGAACATCGTACTGGTTACGGAATGAACATCATCTTGAACACAGTAACATTTATGTGTTGAAAATACAACGATACTTTGATTCTATAACACAGAAATAGATACCCCGATTATTACCGTATAACGGTTCACTTGTTTTCAGACTTTATAAGCCATTTTCCATGTTTGCGTGGTAATACAATTGTATTGACAAACAAGAAACAGAACAGAAAGAAATAACCATGATCATGGATCATGAGCATCGATCCACGCAATTGGGATCGATGACATGCATCACCCAAGTCAGCGAGGCTGACCACCCCATCTCGTTGGTCGCCTTTTACGACAAGCATAGTAACCTTTTACGGCAAGCATGCCCTTGTTGTCAAAAGCCTATTGTGGTATGACATGTAGCACTTGCTCACACAAAATACCGGTTCACAGAGAGTGCAAGGGTTGTCTGTAACTACAAACTGGCCCGTATTGAATATAAACAGACTGATTAATTGACCAATATACGTATGGCCATTCTCACGCGGGTGTTATGCGAACATTACAGGTTCGACACTTGTTGCCAGTCATACTTGATATATTGTACATTATGAACATTATTAAGCAACAGTCAGAAGTATATCCATATGACCAACCGAACCAGCTTTATTTGGCCTTCCACTAGCTTGTTCATCAGCCATAAATCTTCTATATAAACAAAGACCTACTTGGCAGCATAGGTTCAGTATATGTCTGTGTATGAACGTTGACTAAATGTGACTGTCTATGTTAAGATTGCGTAGAGAGTTTAGAATGTCAAATGTTGCCCCGTACACTCTACCAAAATCTGCCTATTAAAATACTAAAGGTATTCGACTAAAAGTATTGGTCCAACCATCGAGATAAAAATATAAGTTGTTATATCAAACATTTAGTCATATTACTTTCTGAAAAACAACGGCGGTACATGAGTGAGTGCGTTAGATTTTTATGTCACGTCGGCAATATTTCAGCCATATCGTGACTATCAAGGGTTAAACATAATAAATACATTGAGACTTATATAAAATTCTGCCAACAAAGGACAGTAAAATAACTAGACGTATCACAGAAAAGGATTTAAAACTAGTATTGAATCATAAAATGAATAGCACTGTACATAACAATACATTATAAAAACGGGCTATAGATAGCCAGCAATTGAAGGTATATCACCATACTAGGGATCATGGGGACTTACAGTACTTCCTGCATGGACCCCAGCAGGATTTACATCATTCCTTCAAGTGTTGGCGATAACTGATGAAGTTAGCCTAACATATTAAAATGACACATGTTCTACGATTAAAAACGTGGTAGTTTTAAATTTACTTTGAAAGGTGTGGAACGTACGTTATCCTCTCTCCCAAATTTAAAACATTGTTTTTATGCAAAACATATGATAAATCACAATTTTGCAAATAATTCAATATCCTTTAAACCTATAATTAAACGAGAATTAACACTATTAACACTATCTTCAATAGATGATGATTTGAGATATTGATCCCTTGTGATGGAAAAATCAATGCATTCGAGCAGGATTCTTTCATCACAAGGGGTAAACAACGGAGGATCCTTATCTTTTAATAAATACTCATGCATATATCTGCTGTGGCCAATACGACGCATAATCGTCGCATAATGACCTCTTCAAATCTGGACTGACAACCCAAGGAATTGTAGGCGATATTTGGTTTAGTTTCATGTAATTTATTGATACCTACTTGGGTGTCCCACATCTTTTGCATGAGATGTTTAATGTAACATCTAATAACAGGCTTGGTATCACTGTACTGGATTTAAAGTGGTGTCACAGATTTTATGAGCGTTGCTTTTGCAGCTGCATCAGCCTAGAATCAAGCATTTTAAGATTACTTCTGCATGCTCCTCCATAAACGATGGAGCCGTAATCGAGTTTTGAACGTATGAGAGCCCTATATAGTTGGAGGAGGGTCTTCTGATCACCTCCCCACTTTGAATTTGAAACGACTTTTAATAAGTCAAGCGCCTTCAGGCACTTTGCTTTAAGGTAGTTTACATTGGGTTTAAATGTCAGATGGCTATCAAAAATAAGACCCAAGAACTTGGCTTCCTTTGCAATCTTGATAGGTGTGCCATACAAATATAGTTCAAATATAGTTATCTAAAGATGCATAAATCGTTGTTCGAAATGAAATATTATAATATCTTCCCTTTACTGTTTGTATCAGCACTACCCTAAAGTGGACTATGCCCATTCAAATCGCCCACAATGATACATGGCTTGGGGGACTGGTCAAAGAGTACCTGAAGATCAGTTTGTTGAAGAGTAGAAGATGGAGGTACATAAAGCGAGCACAATGTGAAAACAATGTTGAGGCTTAAACGGACTGCAACAGCTTGAAGTGGTGTATCAAGCGGAATAGGGCTATGTATAGCACTCTGTCTCACCAACACTGAAGATCCTCCAGTAGCCCTAGGTCATGGAGGAGAAAAGAAGTTATATGCATCATATTGTCTCAAATTGATTACATCATTATCTTTAAAATACGTTTCTTGTAAACAAAATGCTGATGGTTTAAAATCCTGTAAATAACTGTAGATTATTAAAACTATTCTTTAGTCCCCTGTAATTCCACTGAATAATATTATTGGAGCCGTTCATGGAGGCTCAACTGGAGATCTTGAGCGAGAGGGACGTCCACTCCCACGAACCGGGAGTGAGGGACTGACCTCCATCAGTAGAGGCAAGAGAAGGCAATTCCATTTTTTTCGGTGTCTTTTACACTGTTTGGTTCTGATGGTTGAGTTACTATTTTCTGAATTTTGCAGAATCTGAGGTGTTGGTGTTAAATGTACTGTCTGGGAAGCAGAAGTAGATTTTATAGTGAGAGATGTCTGT